CTCTCTCTCTCTCTCTCTAATGTGTGGATTGAAGTGTAGCAGTGCGACACCCTGTTTCTATAGCTCACAGGCACAGATGGCGAGTTTGGTCCATGATGATACAGAGTTAGCTGGTTTGAGCACTGCAGTCTGCCTGGCACGCACGCACACACACACGCACACACATGGATGCACACATGCACGCTCATGCACGGGCAAGCAACTACACACAACTGGGTGCACGCACACAAGCAGGCGCAGTGGAGTTATAACATGCCTGGGCGTTACATAAGCTGTACGTGTACTGGAGCACACACTGAGACACACACACACACATTTATACACACTGTGTGTTTACTATGCAGACAACACAGGCTCTGTGTGCATGCAGACACACAAACATGCACTGTTGCACATGCAGGAAAGTGCTCGACGGGTTTATTATTAGTATTTAGATTTCACGCCCATGCACAGACAACTTCACACACATTTCATGGTTATAACACGTGCAACTTGTGATTTCAAATATATGAAAACACACACACACACACACACACACACACACACACACACACACACACACACACACACACACACACACACACACACACACAGCACTGCAGTGTCTGTCTCTGCTCATTCACCACAGACGAGTGTGTGTTCACAAATGTAGGGCAACTTTGAGGGGCGGCTGGTTTCTTTAAGACGACGTGGAGACACATCAGAGGCAGGAGGAGACCCGAGCTTTAAGTCTCAGAGAAGCTTTGGAAATGAAAGTGTGACGGAGAGTTCAGAGGTGAAAGGCAGAAGTGAGACAGACGGCGAAGAGGATTCTGAAAGACACACAGAGACGAGGAGAAATGGAGTGTCAGAGAAACAGAAAGTGAGTCTTTGCAGAAGTGGAGCTGTAGTGAATGAGTAAATCCGACCGGTGTTAGCACCCCCCCCCCCCGATTCTTTCTAAGAATGAGGCAGAGAGCTGCCACTAAGCCCCCCCCCCCCAATCACTTTACACTAAATGCATTATGGGCCACTTAACTGCTAAACAGCTCCAGGGACTCTGCTCCGTGCATGACCCGACACTCTAACACTCTCTGACTCAAGTGTGTGTGCTTCAAACTGACACACACACACACACACACACACACACACACACACACACACACACACACACACACACACACACACACACACACACACACACACAC